GTCTAGAAACAGTTCTGATTTCTGCTGACTAGAAGTAGTTACTGAAGTGCAAGGTAGATTGAATTTTTTTTTTATTTAAGGGGGAGGAGGAAAAACATATGGCAGGAAAACACTGCACCACTGGGGCTTCTAGTTTGAAGAGGGAGAGAAGAGGAAAAGACAAAATACAGCCAACTTTGTTAAATGCAGCCATTATCCACATGGTTTCTAAACAATCTGACTGCATTGGTGTGGTGGCTGCACGTCAGGGTAGTTAGAGTGTGGTACCACGTAGCAGCTTGCACAGTGTCACCCTGTTCCCTGCCACCACCTCTCCTTAGCAATCTCTTCTCACTGATACATCACACCGGTGGTCAAAACAGTTGTGGTTGTGTTATGCAAACTGTAGCTTGCGTTATCCTATGGTAGTTCAGATAAAGAGAAGTATATCACTGGTAATTGCATGACTTAAATCTGAAATCTTCTTGTTCTAATGTTTTTATTTCTTCTGCTGAACGTAGCCAAATACTTTGGGGCCAGGAAAGGAAAAAATATAAAGGATGGAGGTGTTGTCCCTCTTGATGTAGGGGAAGTGTTCAAGTATATGGTTGGAGTGTACGGTTACAGACACAAAAATAAATGTATACAACACTGTATAAATAAATAGAACATTGACTGGACTGACAGTTATATGGCCAATATCTCCTTCAGTTCCAATGTGCTGCATGTGAAATTGGACACTATGTGTTTGAAAAATTCACATCTGGCCAGCTCACTTTATGCAGCTCCTGTTAGGAAAGCCACCTCATCTGTCATGGAAATGACCAATGTAGAGAAGCATGTCAGATAGCTACCCGTGAGTCCTGCTAATTCACCGAGGTAAAATGAGAGTTCTCTGTCATTTGCAAGTGAAAATGCTGGAAAGGGTACTAGGAAATCTGCAGAGGTAGACCAGCTACAGGAAAATAAAAGAAAAATTGTGGCACTTCAGATTCAAGTGATGGTTTTCAGCGACTAGCCCTTGCGAGGGACAGTGTCAAGATCTTACAAGCCTCCCAGTGGCAGGCTCGGCTTTTGAGGATGTAGTGGATGGATGTGCCATTCTCAGAGAGAAAGGAAGGCTCGGAGAGACGATTCCCTTTGAGACCCCTTCGGAGCTCAGGCTGAATCTTAGCATCCTCTGGCTCTGCAACCCCAGCTGCTGGTTCCCATCCCTGCTGCCAGAAAATGCCAAGCCCTTGGTTCAATTCTCTCTAACCCAATTCAGCTAATGTTGCACTTAACCCAACTCGTTGTGTGATTGCTCTCCAACATACTGTGAGTCAGGCAGCTGTGCTGACTGGCTGGCTAGGATGGACACTCCAGCAGAGGTGTTCTCAAGCTGCTGGAGCAGCACCCTGCCCAGCCAGCATCCCTGGGTCCAGGTAGGGTGTGGGACCCTACCCCGAAGCTCTACCATGATATCTATACATCCCTTCCCTCAGAAGCGGAGGGAGTCCTTTCCTTTGCTCCTGTGTTCTTCCCTGAGCCCCACGAGCTGGCTGCTGTGTTTTGAGAGATCTCAGTTATCCCAGCGGGTCACTTGGAGGGGCAGACTCCTTCCCTGACCTCCCCATGTACAGGTGGCAAAGCCGGCTCAGCTCTGCATCACATCTTACTTGAGCAGGGGATCATTTCTTCTCCGCTTTTGTACAGCTAACAAGCATGCAGCTGTTAAAGAGACTACTGTACCTTTTGATTTTTTTTTTTTTAAAAAGCTCAAAAATATATCTCTTTCTAATGCTACCTCTAGCTCTTTGTCATTTAAAACTTATCTTTTCAAGCTGTGTTTTTCTGTCCTGACTGTGAGGTTACAAACTTTTCTTCTAAGGAAACATGAAAATTACATTCCCATGACTCTGGGGCTTGGGCTTTACAAATACTACTGATACTGCTAGAGATGTTAAGATTTTACTTTGAGATAAGTTGTTATACCTACTTCTTAAAGGAACACCTGTAATAAAGATAAGCGACTCAAATACAGATTCGTTACTTCTCTTAGAGAACAATTCAGCATGTATTATATAATAGATTCTACATTTTACACATGCTGTACGCTAACATTCAGCATATATGGTGATACTGTTATGCTGCATCTGTGTATTCCCAAAATAACTTTATTTAAGCATGCTTTAAAGTTGCGGCACGCGTGCTGAAAACACATTAGCAGGATTCTCCTTATTGAATTTTAGCAATTTTCACGTTGTTAGCTCTAGCCCACTAAGCAGTTTCACTGAATGAGCAGGAATCGGTAGTGGATAGGTTCATGTGCGAAACAGTCTCAGAGCAAATGGAAGCAATCTTCTTGTAGAGTTACAACAAGGGATGAATTTGGATCAGGTTCATTTGGGCATCAAGTGTCAGCTTGCTTCAAGTAAATGAGATATGGTATGTAGGAGGTTCAGTAATAAGGTATCTCCTGGAAACAAAAGAATCCATGCTTTCCACTTTTACTGTAATACCACCATGCATCAGATAAGAGGCATCCTTAAATAGTCCAGGAGGAAAATCCGAGGCAAAGGCAGGTGATTTATTAGTGTAAGGTAGGGATGATGGCAGATGCAGGAGCAGGGGGCTGCAGGGATGCTGCAGTGGTTGGAACTTGCCTGCGTTTTACCTGCGCACAGGTATAACCCGTACTGCTGTGGAAGCGTGGAGGGGAATACCTCTATGTTCATTAAATGACAGGGGCCAGATTATTTCTGGGCTTAGTCTCTTCATTTCTTAAATGCAGACCCACTCCACATGGCTCAGTAAGCAGGTTTTGGATCAGCACTGGTGAAGCCAAAAAGTGGGGGTTTAGTCTGAAATTTGTTGCCCTGCCAAGACTACACGTTCAGTTTAATTTATGTAGGTATTTGAGCAAAGCCTGCAGTGCTCTGTTTCTGTATCTACTTTTTGCGTGGACCTCATCCTTAAAAGAGGCAAGAAAACACGAGCGCTTTATGGGCTCCTTTGAGCTGTACCCTTTTAGTGGACATGAAGAAAATAAGACCAGACATAAATGATTAATGCAGAATCTTGGAAGAAAATATTGCAGGGTGCCTTGCTGTTTGATTACAAGCCTTGGAATTAGTCAACATTTCCATAATTCTAAACCAATATACACCTGTTTTCCCACTGTGATGTGAAGGCACAACTTAATTTAACAGAAACCCCGCTGTGCTAAATCTCTCATTAAATACCAAGCTAGTTCTGTAATTTAAAGTTGCAGCACCACTATTTTAACTGAATTGCCTTTGTATCATGAAATTAATAAGAAGTTAATGATGCACTTTGCTGTATTCTCTCAGATTTTTTTTCACAGCAGCAACAACAAAAAAGAAAGATAAAGAAGAAAAGCATGTCACCAGCTGACATCTCAAGGCTTTTCTGGTTTTAATCATTTTCCTGAGGATAAAATTAATTTAAAAGATTTTTTTAAATTTTTAAAAACTTTCAGCATAAGTAGGATCAAACATCTTCTTTTTACTCATGATTAGTATAATCTCTCTGTTAGTCATAATATTCCTTGTCATATATAATGGAGCTTTTATCTTTCCCCCAAAATGTATTTAGATATCACTTGTTATGGTAGGATTGCTCCTAGGCAGAGAAGAAGATATACAGCGTTTGAGAAATGCAGGCATATTGATATATATGATACATATCAACAAAACAGGGACAGTTCTCTTCTGTTTACTTGGTGCTGGCATCACAAGTAGCTTTTATGTCTTGTAAATGAACAACATGAATTTCCAGATGTGTCTTTTCAAATATAACATACAAGTGCATAGCTCATATCCTGGCTCATAGGGACGTGGTTTGTATTATTCAACTTACGGTCAGGTTTTCTTGGAACGTTGGTTTGGATGTTGTTTTAAAAGGCAGAAGGGAGAAAAGAGACAACCTCAATTTCAATGTAATAATGATCTTAGTAATGTGCTTCTTTGGGATGAGATGTAGGACTGAGGCCCTAACTAGTCTCATCTTCATTAAGAATCTCATGGCTTTGTTAGAGGTGTTTAACTTCTATTCCCTAAGCAAAATAATCCAATAAATTCCTCCCATCTAAATTTATCCTGTACCTTCAGTTAGATGTAATAATCTTGGTCCCCCCATGCTCTAATTTGCTGCTTAGTGAAAATTGGCATCTGTATAGAGGGCAAACCTCGAAGAGCTGCATGCAGGGACTGCTTTAGCTGCCTCTGTGGCACTCACATTTTTTGTTTTAGTTTTAACACGCATTAGTTTAAAAACGGAATGTGCTCTGTTTTGCTAATGAGCGAATTGGGGAGGATTTCCTGGCAAGAGCTAAGTGCAGGTGGGAAACACAAGAGCACTATATGTTGGTCGAATTCTTGGAGCCCAATAGCTGAATAAATACACCTTTAATCTCATGCCGAAGCTATTTGAAGTCAGAAATCAATAGGAATCTGTTTGTAAAAGCTACACCTAAAACTCTTTGGAGTTTTTGTTATGTACTTGAAGTTAGATTCATCTGACATGGCAATGATTATTTGTTGCCTGTATGTATATTTTTGCATATATCCCCATAGCTAAAGTTATCACAGACATAATTAACAGCCCACACTGATTTAGGTGTCAGCACTCCCATGCTTTTAACAGACTAACGGTTTACATGGTTCTTATTTCAAGTGGGATATACATATTCCAAGTAGCAGCAAACCCTTTGTATTGAAGTTCTGCCATGAAATTAGAACATTAGCTGTATGAATCAGTTTAATTAACGGTTTAACAATGGAGAAATACAGTTTTTGAGAAA